TAATGCTGGCCAGGTAAAACGGAAAAAAAAAATCCTATTATCACTTCTAACTCCATTGTCTCCCTTTTAGTTCTAGTAGCAGGGTTACATCTTTATCTGTCTATCCAACTATCCCTTGTCTGCAGGAAAATAGGATAGCAAAATTTTCCTCTCTCAAAAATAACCATTCCTTTAGCTGTTTTCATAATAGTCCTGTAAAAAGACATTGTGCAATTGTGAGTGAGGAATTCTTTAGAGACTTATAGTGGCCAAGGTTTTAATTGTTTACATTTATTATGAAACTTGCCCAAGAGTTAAATCATTAGCATTAAATCTTAGTTAAACTGCAAAAGTATTTCTCCAGTTATGGAAACTTTTTATCTAAACAGAGCTAATATATTGCAGCAGGGTTTTGTTTAAAAAAAAAAGTCCCTAAAAGGAGGCATTTTATATGAAGAATCATCATTCCAGTTTCTTTTGCTTACCATTCACTCCCACCTCCTTATAAAAACAAATTAAACATTTTTACTTTACAGTGGCTCTGTATGCAAATAAAATGAGCTTTTGAACCTGGGACTGCAAATTCTGTAATGTTTTGGGATGCAATTGACATTACAAGGATAAAATATTTCAAGGTTTTCCTCGAGGACTTTGGGGAAAGTTGTGGGAATAAGCCAAAAAGTAAAGGAAATGAAGAATTCACAAAACTGGCAGTTAGTATCTCTGGTTTTTATTCCCGGCTGTGCCACAAACTTTCTGTAGGATGTAGACCAAGGATATAGATGGGCCGCAGGCCAAATCTAGACTGTTAGACACCTTTGAACAGACCCTGACAAATTTATCTATCTATCTATCTATCTATCTATCTATCTATCTATTTATTTATTTATTTATTATTGATTTTATTATTTTCTCTGTTGTCTGGACCTTGACTGTACCTTGGCCAAGAAATTTGAACCTTGATAAAAAATAATTGACTTTCCCTGAGGATGTCACTTGTATTCTCTGTGGTTCAGTATCTCCATCTGTAAAATGGGAATAAATAATTCCCCTTAAGAGGTATTTGTGAATTGTAATGAATTAGTCTGGAATTTTCAGAAGAGCCCATAAGCGGGATGGAATTTCTAAATCATTTAGAATTGTCACAGAAGCCTATTCTTAATGCAGATAAGACCTTTTTGTTCCTCAAATGGAATTCACTATAGAAGAATATGTTAAATTAGCTCAGTGTGCATTATTTCAGCAAGGAGAGAGTGATGTGGAATTAAAAATAATACATCTTGCATTGGTTATTTTAGGGTGACTTGACTTGAAGTTAAAGGAGAGCTGGTTTTTAGGAATGGAAATGTGTGGTGATACTACCATCCTTTGGGAAAAACTTGATTTTTGCTGTCATCTTGCGCTCTGCCAAATGTTTAGGGCCTACTCCAACTCCTGTGACATTAGTGGAGTCTTTTCATTTACTTCAGTAGGAATTGTTTCAGCCCTTTTGTTGTTATTTTAATTGAAAATATAGCTTTTTAAAAAGAAAGCAAACACACATGTAACTCACTTGAGGCCTATTTTAAAAAGGGGTTGGATAGCTCATGGGGGATAAGCTCCCTGCTGGATTGGGCTCATAATAATCAAATGTATGTTTCAAATACAATATCATTATGTAACTTGGAAACTGCTAACTTGGGGTTAAGGGAGGAGCTGAGATGTCCAGATGGCTCATATCGTACCACCAAGCCTTTAACATGGAAGTCTTACTTTTCCAAAGATGCCTGCAGTATTTTCTGTTTTGCATCAGACTTGAGTCTTTGGCTTTGTGATGTGAAGTGAGTGATCACCTGATTCTTTTCTGTTTCGCTAACAAATAACTTTATAATAAAAAATGTCCGCTTTAAATATTTGTTGAACTGCTATAGATTTCTATTGTCAAAAGAACTGAAAATGATTTCCACTAGTTAACCCTCCCCCTCTCCCTGACTCCACCCTTTCCCCTCAATAATGCTTATCAAAGAAGTAGTGTTCCTGTTCATTTTTGCTACAGTAAGATATTCAGTAACCAGCACAGGCTCTCTTTTGTTTTGGGTTTGAGACTGGACAGTTGCTGTCAGATGCTTTGAACAATGCTTATATCATACACAGAGAAGAAGAAGGAAAAAAAATACAGTATGTCTTTCATTTTGAAAGTCTGACGCCATTTTGCAACAAGCTGCCTGAATGTAGTAATTTGGTTGCATGCTTCTCTGTTGTCTTTGATAATCTGCAGCTGGCTGCTCAAGTCATCTGTGTGACTTGAGTTCTTGTTTGTTTTTAATTTTTTGTCTTGGACTGAGAATTGCCACAAGCAATCTCTTACATAAGTTATGTAGCAGGAGGGCAAATAGCTATTTACCTCTTTTTGTGAGAGAGTTCCATGTGTTGTGTGTTGAAAACCAGCTGATCAACATGAATTGATACTAATTTACGTTGATAATGAATAATCACAAAGATTTTGTTTTAAACTGGTTAGATATTCTTTAAATCAGTATTACGGGCCTAATTTTATTCTCCTTCCTTTTTCTTTCATGAGCATACAAGAATGTAGTGATCATATAGGAAAGGCAATGTAACTTAACTGATGAATTTCTAGTATAGTAAGTATCTTGGGGCTGAGGGTATATTTCAGAAAAATAGTTTCAGGTCTGAGATTATCATAAAGCTTTGAATTGATTAGTAAATTTACAAAGGGGTGGGGGAGGGCAATAATTTTTTGCCTGGGGCCATTTCAGAAATTTTTAAAGTAGCCCCGAGCCACACCGAAAGGGGCAGAGCCTCAAGCAGAAGGGGTGGAATCAGGATTCTTCCCTGCTTCCCCACCCACAGACCATGATTGGCCTGAGAAAGGGGGAGCACCTTTGTTGTCCCCCCTCGTTCCCGGAGGTTGCCCCTGGCACTGGGGAGGAGACTTTGTGCTCTCCTCATTCTGCCCTCAGGCCAATCAGGAAAAATTCATGCACTTTCCCCTGTCCCCAGACCCTAATTAGCCTGGAGGCAGGGGAGCAGCAGGGCCTCCATGAACCGGATCAACCCACTTGGTGTGCCAGATCCAGCCTGTGGAGTCCTTTTTGCCCACTCCTGGTTTACAGTCTTCATTGTAACCCTCTGTTGTGACTTTAGGCCAAAAATTGTTGGTCTAGATTGAGATGAAAAGGGGATGGAGAGGAAAACATAGTGTGATGAGTTTAGAGCATGAAGGTCTCTGTTGTGTTTCCCAGACAAAAAATATAAACATTTGAAGAATGTTATTTGTCTAGGACAAAAGCCGTTCACTGTAATGTATCTACTATATAGTCGAGAAAGTTTGTCTGTCTGTCCAAGAATGCGTCTTAAACGGTAAGCGCTAGAAGCACTGAATTTGGTATACAGCTTCCTCTTATCGTAACTTAAAGCAAGGTAAAGATTTCGTTGTGCCAGGAAAATGGGATGTGCCTGTAATGGAATTACTCCTCATAAAACTATATAGAAGAGAGACAGAATCACCAGGCAGGTGAAAGGGGCTGGCTAGGGGGCACCCCTTCCAGTCCAGGGCTATCCCAGTCCCGAGCCTCCCACCCCATTTAAGGAGCGTAGGGGACCCTATTCCCCTTTGCCTGGGAGCAAGGGGAATGTACACTCTGGCTGGGAGCACAGGGGGACAGACGAACCTGGACCTGCCTCAGCTGGGGAACATGCACCCCTCCTCTGTGCCCAAGGAGAGGTGCTTCTCCCCTGCCCCCAAGCCACTGTGGTGAGAAGGGGCTGGGTAGTCCTCTCTCCCCAGGGCAGCCTGTACACTGAACCTGTCATCCCTAGCCCTACCCTAGAGCAGTGATTCAAATGAAGCACTTTCATTTTCCAAAAATAAAAAAAATTGAATTAAGGACTCGAGCAATGCTGGGTAAATCTTCTAGTTTAATATAAAATGGGGCTGATCTGTTTGTAGCACTACATATGCCCAATATAAGCCTCATTCATCATTAATTCATGATGTTTGTAAATATTATTTTCCAAAACATCAAAATGAATGTACAGATTTGGAAAACATTTTTGTTTATTGTATGGGAAACACACGATTTCTCATTTTGCTGCTCCTGCTTTGGTGTGCGTGGTACATGTTTGTGCCAATTATGCTGGCAGTGGTATATACAAATGTAGATTATGCAGGTAGCAAATTCAATAAAGTGGAGTTATGTTGAAAAATAGCATGTTACTCTGGAGAGTATTTGTGTTTTGAGTCATCTCAGCTTTGTTTATAGAGATACAAAATTTACTGCGGTTAGCACGGCAGAGTTACCACGACTGTAAGAGAAGAGGAAGACATGTTCTGCTGCAACAATAGCAGAATAGATAACTAACTTCCAAATGGAAAATATTTGGTGGTGGTGCGGTGAGCTAAAAAGAGCCCAGTTGGATTGTCGGAGTGTAAGTTGAGTCTCCAGGACTGACTGTTTAAAAACAAAACAACCCTTTCCTTCTAAACTGAGCAAATTAAAAGTGGAGTTTCTAAGAAGCAATAACTTTGGAACCTGACAATGCAGTTTGTAGTGTCATTTTTCAGAATATAATTACCATTTAATTTTTGACATTATGTGGTTCTTTACATTGCATAGGATGTTGGATAACCGTCATACACTGTGTATTTGGCTATTGTGTCACATGTAAAGTAGTTGGCAAAGATCAGACATACAGTACATTTGTAATATTATTGTTTTTATTTGTATAGCAGTGGCATGTAGAAGCCTAAACCAGGTTAATACCCCCATGTTGGTAGGGAGTGTACAAACATGTAATAAATGACAGTCCTTGCCCCCTAAGAATTTACATTCTTTAAACAAAAAAATTCATTCAGTCCATAGATTGCCTATGCCATCTTTCAATCTTTGGCTTGTTCTAATTTAATTTTATTACTGTTTTGTTACACTTCAAGTGATGCAATATGAGTTTACCTCTTTGATATTTTTATAAATAAGACTGCTTTTTTGATTTTTAGAGATTCTTGAATTTTGTTTCAGGATATAACTTGGCAAGATGAACACTCAGCCCCTTTCTCCTGGGAAACGAAGGTAAGTTAGCTATTTACACCCCCACCCCCATGTTTTAAGGTCAGTTTGCCTCAGAATTAATCCTACTCTCATTTGAGAATTGATACATTAAGGTCCCTTTACAGTACACTGTGAGAAACTTGTAAAGTGACCATAGCATACACGAAAATTAATCCCAATATGTTTTCATTGACTTAAATAGAAGCAGGATCAGGTGCTTCATGAGCTAATACTTAGATTCCAAATGTAAGTGTAAAACTCTTGTTGTGCCATCAGATTTTCATCGTTTAGAAAATTGCAAATCAAATCTGCAGAAATTATCAGAATTTCCAGGTTAGGGAAGAAGAGAGAACCTGTAGGACTAAATAATTGTGAATCACCTACTTCATAAGCAAAGAGGACAGGATCCCATTTAAAATATATTTGTGACGGATGTAAGTGGTTTGGAGTGAGGAGAGAAGCATGCATGTATGTAACCCCATTGAATTTTATAAAACCTGCATTAGGCTTCATCTGGTGTTCTCTGCATCAGGCTGTGATGAAAACTGTTGAACTTGCTGCATCTGCGTGAAGTTCAGGTCTGCCTTCTTCCAAAAAGGAGTGCATAGACAAGTATCTTAGACTACTAGATTTGTTCTGCTTGTTGAAGATGTCAACATTGTGGCAAAAGTTCTAGCTAGGTTGTGATTCCCACAATAGTAAAATAGAATGAGTGTCTCTGTAGCTGCAGAGTGAGGTCACAACTCAGAAATATGTTTGTAAGGGTTTGGTTGTAGTTTTTGATAGTGATCTCTAATGGCAAGATATTTGAATTTCCCATTGTGGAAAAATACAATCAATGGCTACGTCTACACTGGCCCCTTTTCCGAAAGGGGCATGTTAATTTCACAGGTCGTAATAGGGAAATCCGCGGGGGATTTAAATAAAATCTACACTGGCCCCGATCCTCCGGAAAAAAAGCCCTTTTCCGGAGGATCTTATTCCTACTTTGAAGTACTTTTCTAAAAGCCGGAAAAAAGCGGCGGACATTTTTATTTAAATGCCGCGGGGGATATTTAAATCCCCCGCGGATTTCCCTATTACGACCTGTGAAATTAACATGCCCCTTTCAGAAAAGGGGCCAGTGTAGACGAGCCCAATGTGTTTGAATGTATAACTTTTTTTTTTCTTTTAAACATGAAAAGTTAGTCTCAGATTCAGACTTCTGTCAGATGCCAAAGGGGAGTCCACATGTTGAGGAACCAGAATCTACCATGTGTGATAGTGAATTCTCCATTATTATCAAATCCTATACATGCACATTAAATCCCCCACCTCGAGTTATGATTGTACAGAGTCATTTTATTATCCTCTAGCCAAATCCTTCATAAGTTGTTATTGAGATGCAGTTTTTTCTTTCTACAGGTGAAGAGAGGTGTAACAGTGTAGCTGTAATGCTATGTTTAGATGTAACCCTCATTTTAATGAGGATTACAGGAGTCTAAGTAAGAACTCCTCCAGCTCACCATTATTTTGAAATAATGGCTTGCTGTGTAGATGTGCTCTTTGTTATTTCAAAATAATGTTGAGCTGAAGGACTTCTTATTCCAACTCTTGCAACCCTTATTTCACAAGGAGTAAGGGAAACCAAAGGAAGAGTATTCTTCCTTTGACTTCCTGCTGTGTAGACAGCACCAAAAGATGAATTAAGGTATTTTGACTTCAGCTACGCAATTGACGTAGCTGCAATTGCATAGCTTAATTCGACTTTTGCCCTGCTGTGTAGACGTACCCTAAGTGAGTTGCTTATCTGCAATAATAGAAGGCTTATACCTGGAGAGCAGAGGGACAGTGTGAATTCCATTTCATATTTATATTTGAATCTAGCTTCTTTTTTAGCTGTTTTAAACTGAGACTACTTATATGATTAGTTCCATAAGAATGGCCGTACTGGGTCAGACCAAAGGTCCATCTAGCCCAGTATCCTGTCTGCCAACAGTGGCCAACACCAGGTGCCCCAGAGAGGGTGGACCGAAGACAATGATCAAGCGATTTGTCTCCTGCCATCCCTCTCCAGCCTCTGACAATTATCCCCTGGCTAATAGCCTTTTATGGACCTAACCTCCATGAAATTATCTAGCTTCTCTTTAAACTCTATTATAGTCCTAGCCTTCACAGCCTCCTCTGGCAAGGAGTTCCACAAGTTGACTACACGCTGTGTGAAGAAGAACTTTCTTTTATTAGTTTTAAACCTGCTACCCATTAATTTCATTTGGTGTCCTCTAGTTCTTCTATTTAGGGAACTAATAAATAACTTTTCTTTATCGGCCCTCTCCACACCACTCATGATTTTATAGACCTCTATCATATCCCCCCTCAGTCTCCTCTTTTCTAAACTGAAAAGTCCCAGTCGCTTTAACCTCTCCTCTTATGGGACCCATTCCAAACCCCTAATCATTTTAGTTGCCCTTTTCTGAACCCTTTCCAAGGCCAAAATATCTTTTTTGAGGTGAGGAGACCACATCTGTACACAGTATTCAAGATGTGGGCGTACCATAGTTTTATACAGGGGCAGTAAGATATTCTGGGTCTTATTTTCTATCCCTTTCTTAATAATTCCTAGCATCCTATTTGCCTTTTTGACCACCGCTGCACACTGTGTGGAAGTTT